TGGGAATAATTGAAGGTCTCCTCAGACATCCAGGCTGTATTACTCACCGGAAATACAGAAATGGGTTTTCTATTTACTGTAGTAAAGCAACCTTGTCTATAAACTCCTTATTGCTGCAAACCAAAGGTGTGTGTCTGGGGAGGGCAAGGTTTTCCCCTTGATGTTCCAGGACATGGAAATACAATCCGTTTTCAGAAACAGATGTTTGCAATAGAAAACTTTCACTCCACTCTCTTATGTTTTTAATCTGCTCATGACAGGAAACACAGATTCAAAATGAATGTAAAGAACACAGTCACCATAACTGATGATAATACAAAAGAACACGTAGGAAAGATTTCTTTTCCCCAACATATTATAGGGAGAAAAGGTTTACAGATTTCAGAGAATTTTAGGTATTTTTATTTCTCAGTGGCTACCAACACTGTTGTTCCATTAACTTCAGAGGATACAGATCTCAACAATGCTTTGATACTACCAACAGTTTCAGCATACAAGAGACAGTACAGCTCTTCTTCCTGCTCTCTGCCACATCTTCAGCACTTCCAAGTGACTCCCCTGCTAAAGCTTCACTGAACAGACAGATGTATAAAAATGGCCAAAAGATTCTTCCATAGCATGTGTAAAATGCAAAATGAAGCAGGTAAGAGTAATTGATTCACCCTCTTCAGCCAGTCTTGCTGCTAACCTCTAGGCTCTCAAGAATTATGAAGATGTGCTTTTTAAACTACAGCAAACTACACATCTCAAGTGAAGTTCTTCATGTATGACAGTGTGAAGGGTTTGACTGGGCTCTTTCCCATGCTGTTTGGCTGCCTGTTCAAACTTCTCCTCTCACTCTTCTTCACATCACAACCTCCCTGGTCTCCCTTCTCCAGCTTGCCTAAATCCCTTTTCCTTGCTCTTTCATTCAAGTATTACCTTGCTAATGACAATCTTCACTTGTCAAAAACAACAATATTTGCATACTGATTTCTGCAAATTCATTTACCACTCTGTGTGTGATGCAATCTTTGATCTGTGTTCAGTTTTTTTTAACTGAGAGATATTTGGGGCAGGGGCTGTCATCTGGTGTGTGCTTGAATAATGCACAGCACAAAGGCATCCTATTTTAGACAGTATTTGAGAAATGCTGTAGCAAACAATAAAAACAATTATAATTACCCCTCCCACAAGCTACATTAAAATACATGATCACTCAGATATTGAGAAATGACAGCATCAATCCTGTGATGTAATTTAATTAATTTCCCTCTCTTCTTTTGTGTAAGTATGATGATACTGTCTCTAGCAATATCATAGTAGACATTTTCTGCAAATGTCTTGCAAATGTCTTGGTTCATTGAGTATTGTTAATTTTTTTAAATAATTTCTTTATCCAAAATGGTGTCCAAATCTTTCTTACCATAGGATTTCCTGTCATAATCCCTTCATTGAGTAGAAAGTTACTAATTTCCTTATACATTTTTTTTGTTATTTTTATCAGTGGATGTGAATGATTCAAGAATATTAGTGAAATTATTTTGGCAATGCTGACTTGCAGACCTGTCACTCTATCTTAAAGATGGGAGATAAAGTGCAGATAGAGTAAGCATAAAACATAAATCTTACATGTTAAATTAAGAGATATCTTTCCAATATTTTATACTGTTTCATGTTTCTAGCATATGGTACATTGGAAGCATAGTGACAAAAAAAATAGCTTTTAGCTTGGAGTGCACAGAATTTCTGATATTTTTTCAGGTGAGGTACAAAAAATACTTCAGCACACATGATTTTTCACACTGGAAAGAAACAAAGCCAAGTTTTCAAAATTTATTCAACTTCTTGAACAATTCTTCCATTTTACACTCTGCTGCTAAAATCCAAACTTCTAATTTCTGTGCTCGGTAAGACAAGAAGGCTTAAAATCTCTCTACACATCCCTAACTGATCCCCAGAAGCCTGTTCACATCATAGAATGTTACATGCTCCTATGTAAAGCACTGTCTCCTGAAGGCTTCATAAAAATAAAAGTTCTGTGGGCTGTATCCCAGCCACAGAGGTCTTCGTACCTGTAAAAAAACAATCAGACTTTCTGTTCTGCTTCTAGGTCTTCCCGCATTGTCACTAATTACTTAACTGTGCATGTGCCTAGTCTTTTCTTAAATAATTTTACAGCTCTCATATGTAGTTATTTCCCTGATTTTGATTGCTTTCTAAGCATGGAAATCCAAGGTGGACTTAGCAATTTCTAACTAGTACCCCAGTACTAAAAACTTGACTATATGAACTACAGGACAGCATTAGAAATCAATTTATTTGTCCAACACAATCTCTAGATCTCTTGCAAAATCACCCTGTCCCATGGGACACACTGATCTGAAAGACTTAGTATAAAACTTTTGTTTTTAAATCCACTGTCAGTTTGGTAGTATTAAAACCAGCAAATTGCACTGGTGATATTTTGACTGAGGTCTGGTTTACCAAATTTTCCCAATTTGGGCTCTGTAGCAAATTCCTCACATCTCAACAGTCATGAATGTATTCATAATGTGCATTGGGATAATAAGGGTAGGGGGAAAGTGTCTAGGAATAATGCACAAGAGAGGCCAGAGGTGTTTTGGCAGCAGTGGGAGATTTCAGAGGACAAACACTAGCAGTGAATCCTTCTCCTTTCCTATCTTGCCTATCTTTCAGGATGCAAGCTGTCATCTCCTCAGGGATTCTCAAGCCAGCCTCTTCCTCATCTTACCTGCCTTACACATTCACACCGCTCTCCCTCTCTGCCTGCACTGAGAACATCCCATGCTTATTCTTCTACCCCTGCCTAGATTTCTGCCATAGCAGTGGGCTCTTCTTGTGTTAAACAGCTGTTGTAAATATTGTATTGATTTTTTTTTTTGTTCAGGTTAAATAAAGATCTAAAAGTAATAACACAGGCTCAGTTCTTGTTAAAGAAAAAAATCCAACTTTAATTCAACCTATTACTTCAGTTTCGATTTGATTTCAGAACACGCTTTGCGTTAATAGAGTCCTATTATCTGTATGATCATGATGTTTTTAGTGTTATTTACAAGTTTGACAATATTTGTGTCAACAGCATATTTAAACATAAATTATTCAGAATCTATTTCCTGATTCCCAGCAGCATTATTGAGCAGGAAAAAGCACAGCTCACCATACAACTCTACTGTAATGGGTACTTTTGAAGACCTGTCATCTGATCAGCCCTTAGCCATTTCATGTATGTTTATCAGAAATCTCTGTGATACTAAGTCAAAGGTATTACAAAAGTCTCAAAAATTTCACCTTTTATTGTTCCATTTATTAACTCAAATTCCAATAACCTTGAAAATTAGCACTAATGCTTTCTCAGTAGTATTAACTTCATCTTCATTTTTTAGTTTTTTATTGCTGAATTCTACATAGTTTTTTTCTTCATAATTTTGACTCAAACCAATATTTAACTTATTGATTTATAACCACATATTAATATTGGTATTTATTGGATTCTGAAAGCTTTCTCCCTGGTAAACATACTGGAAAAAGATTTTTGGTTTGAATTATCTGCAACTGAAAAATTTTCTTAACATTTTCTTATCACATTACATCAATATTCTTCACAACTTTTTGAAGGTAAGTTTTTATTCCATTTGTCTCCAGCATCATGCTCTTCATGGCATCAGTTTAAGACAGCTCTACCTGCTCCATTTAGTCTCCAAAAGAGATTAGTTCTAGTTGGGAGATGGGGTAGGGCAGCTGTCCATCCCTCCCACCATCAGGGATACTGCCTAATGCTCCACTCAGATCATATCTTCAGTCTCACATTAGTGAAGCAGCCACAGGCTTTTGTCCAACCATTTTTAGGTCTTAGAACTAGAAAATCTCAAAACATTCAATTTTTCAGCTTCTTCCCTGATGTTTCCCACGTCGAGTTTCACGTCATTTTTGTCTAGTTATGTTCTCAAAAAAGGCTGATACATTTTTCCTGAAACACTGAAAAAAACCATCAAAGATGAACATCATACATAGAAGTTTTCAGCTCAAATTATGCAAAATATTTATAGTGATGATGCAAATGATGAAAAAATTATATATATTATTTCTGAGAACAAGTAGAAGTTCTTAAAAAATCAAATCAATTTTTTACAATTTGTATCAGAGCAGTGCCTGGGGACGTAAATTAAGATTATACTCTTATGTACTAAGCACTCTTCATATATGGTTTTAAAATAAAAAAAATTGTCACTAATCAATGCATCAAAGTGAAAATAAATAAGCAGTTATGTAAATCTATAGAGTGTTTAACTTTTAAACCCAGATTTTAGAGTTGGGAACATTCCATAACAATATCCTCAGTGACAGGGTTGGAGTGGGCTACTGGAAATAATCACCAGTCCAATGCACGGTGCCACTGGTAACAGAGCTACAAGTGCTCCTTCTTTCCTGATGGCTGGTTTGTTTTCCCAGAGGCTGCAACAGCAGATTCCCACAGACACTGTCTCACATGTTTGCAGCCCTGCAGAAGAGCTTGGGTTCGCATCACCGGGACACTGGCAACAAGCCTTTTGTGGCTTCCCAGCCTGGGCATTGAACTGGGGAGAAATGAACTGGGGAGAAACCAGGCACCTTTTGCACAGGAGCTGACAAGAGGAGTTCATGTACAACTTCCTCAGGAACTTGCCATACCTCATTAATAACTTCGGTGCTTCTCGCTTTGGTTCTATTACGTGGCGCAATGGAAGAGACATGGCACAAAGACTGGATTTGGGGACACGCTGCGTCTGAGGTGCTGGACAGCGAGAGCTGCTACTGCCTCGGCTTTCGGGCAGAGCAGAGCAGACTGCGGGCAGAAAGCAGCTTGGGGGGTTTCTGCGGGGGCTGGCTTTAGTTAGTTTGACAGGACATGGAGAGGCGGGCACTTTCCAGCAGCGGCCTCGCTGCCTATCTCTCCGTGGAAAAGCTGCCGTGGGCAAGCCCAGGCAGCCGGAAGGATGCAAGGGTGGAGGAGGCCTCGGATGGGACGCGCTGCTGAGAGGAGCCGTTCCAAGGGCACCCCGCAGGTGAAGCAGGAGCCATGGAATCCGGGAAGGGATGACCTTCACTCCCACAAGGGCCTGTGCCCATGCCGCTGCCAGCACCGCCCCTTCCCGGTAACCGCGCCCCGCCGGCGGCCGCTTCCGCACCGCGCCTGCGGGACATGCGCGGAACCTGCGGGGCTCCTGCCCCGTGTCCCTCCCCCCCCGCCTCTTCCTCCCCGCCTTTGCCATGGCGACACCGAGTGGCCTGATCCGGGCCCTACACCGCGGGACCCTCGGCCAGGTAACCGGCCTGGGGCATCTCCCCCGCCGCTTCCCGGTGTGCCCGGCCTGGGACGAGCCCCGCGCTCCAGCCGCGGCCGCCATCCCGCCCCGTGCCGCGGGCCGGCTCCGCGCATGCGCAGAGCGGGGGGCGCGGGGCGGGGCTGGGCCGGCTCTGCCTCCCCTCAGGGAGCCGCGCTCCCCGCCGGTATTCCCGGTTCTCTGTCTGTCTCTCCCGCTTCTCGACTCGTCCTTCCCGCTTCCCGGCTGGTTCTCGCTGGCTCCGCTCAGCCGTAGGGGCACTCGGGGAGCGGGAGAGAGGGAGGCTTGAGCCGGCAAGTGCCGGCGTCGTGGGGGTCGCTCAAGCGCTGCGGTACCGCTGGGGTTGTGCGAGGTTTCAGCGTTGGTCTTTGCTTCTTGCCTTTCGATTTGAAATGCACCTACTGGCTACAAACTCCTGTCTTCTACAGCAGGAAGGAAGAAACCAAACCTCATAAGTGTCTGAATGGATGTATGTCAGCCCCTCCCCTTGGTACTTACACGACCTCAGCGGGGTGTAGTGTTTGAATTTCTTTAATATATTTGGGATTTTCACTGTAACCCATCAGGAGCCTTCCCCGCTCTCATTTCCCCCCATTCTATTAGAAAATTGAAATAAAGGGTCAACTGATTGCTTTGATTGTATTTTGTAAGATAACCTCAAGCAATCAGCCAGGTCAGGTAAGTATATATTCAGTGTCATCTTCGTAGGCAGCCTCCTTCATAGTTTTACACCTATGAATGGTTTGCCTTAGAAATCTAAATTTTTCTGTAGCTCGTAGCCTTGTTTTTAAAATAAGTGGAAGAATTTGATGACAGTAGCACTAACATTGCATCATTTTAGAGAATGTTTCCCCTAGTTGGACAATTGGCTTTTTCATTAAAATCTTGCTTTTGGCATGTCATCCAAATCCTGGATAGTATGGTATGTTTCAATAATGGAACACATTATTCAGAATGGTTGCCAGAGTAGATATGTCTCATATTACTTGTGAGAAGAAATAGGGTAAGCAGAAGATCAAAGATTCCTTTCCGTTTCATGGTGTAACCTGTATTGTCTGTGATTTTGCAGCAAGTGGGTTCTGTTATTCTCAGCCATGGAGTTGATATTTTGAGCGCATCAAGCTGTAACACACACTAATGCACAAAAGGTTGGTGTATATGGTAGTGAACCGGGTAAACTACACATTGCAGGACTATTTCAGAACCAGGATTCTTAAAATTAAAAAGTCAAGGCATATTTCATTTTGTTCTAAAACAGCTGATGACCTTGATTCTGCCCTTTCTATTGAGGAGGTAGAGAGAAAGCAAAAGAGGAAGATTATGCCATATGAAGCTCTGATAACTGATATTTCACTTAGCAGCTGTGTTCTTCCTATTAGTTGTTAGTGTGAGGCAGAAGTAAGGTTTCTGCTTAAATGAATTCTGAAACAAAAAATATATATTTAAGACTATGTTGAATTGTAGCAATATAAAAGAGCTAAAGAATCTCAATGTGGCATCCTCAATAAGCTTGTTGGGTGTTTCCATGTCTTGAGGTGCTTTGATTTAATTTCATTTCATGTGCCTAAGTCTTCTTAGATTTCTCACACTTAAAATGTGAACAGTTACACTGCCCCTGTAATATGCAGCAAAGCAGGTCTGCCAAAGATACCTCAAACCACTCATTATTTTTAGAACTCAAATGTTCCTTGAAAAATGTTGAAAGGATTTGAATATGCTTATCTTTCCTGATGCAAATGGTGACTCTTTTGGCTCTGTTCAGTATCACAACAGATGCCCTCCCCTGCTTTCATTCCTCCAGCAAAGAAATCTCATTTTTCTTGCATAATAAAGAAACGTGCTCTGAGTGAACATGGCTCATGTTGTATTTTAATATTTACTCTGATGTGCATTTCTTTGCGACCTCTGAGTCACCTATCAGGTCAAGATTACTTACCAGGTGCTTTGTAGCCTGGTTGCTGTTGCCATGATGTCTTAAAGGTGTGATAGGTCTGAAAATGTAATTCCTTCCTGTTATTCTTTAATGTTTTCATTAAAAAATAAATAAATAAAACCCCCACAAAGTTAGTGTTGCTTCACAGATTCACAGAGTATTCTGGGTTGGAAGGGACCCACAAGGATCATCCAGTTCAACTCTTAAGTAAAACCCCATATGGGAATTGAAGCCACAACCCTGGTGTTATTAGCACCGTGCTCTGACCAGTTTTTTGTAGCTTCAGGTCACCCACACTCAAGTAACAGCAGTAGTTTAAGTTGTTCCTCTGGTGCTAAATTTGCGAGTCCAGTGTGTTGTGGGATTTTGTCCCTTTTCTCTCTCACTTTTAAGTCCCCTCTTATGTCTGTCTGGAAAGAATTGCACTGGAATTGCAGTGGTACTTTCACTGCATCTTCAAAAGAATTGAGGAGGAAAAGTGGCTTCCTTGTTTGCGCTCTTCCTGTTGCCAGGCTGGACTCGGGAGTGGTCCAGCTACTACAATAGACAAATTGGAACAGATCATGTATTTGCTGCCTGCTAATGAGGAATATTCAAATTTCAAGCTGGGAAAAAAAAGTTTGCCTTCAAGCTTGAGCAGTGTGTCTACTGGCACCCTTATAGTTTTGATGTTTAAGTGTTCAATAATGCAGTCATAGTCACCAGAAGACATAATTTATGTGGCTTCAGCTTTGTTTCACTGTAGTGCACAGTTCATCCCTCTGCTTGATTTACCATGCTGTGGAAAAGTTGCTCTGTACATTTTGTTTTACATATTCCTAGCACACAACTTAAATATGTAGGCATAATAAATGTGATTAAGAAGAAAGTAATGTTTTGTTGGAGAGATTAATTACATTTGGGGTATCTTAACTTTTCAGAGCTTTCTTTCAAATTCCCTGATTTACTGTTCTTCAGTGCTCTCTAAGCCAGGGTTATAGAAAGTCATTTCATCAAGTCTGTTTCTTTGATGAGACACTCTTAAAAATGGCAGCTACAGGAACTCCAGGGAATTACTGATAAAATCATGAGAAATCCAACTATGGCATAACCTGTCAGTAGGAAAATTTAATCTAAAATGAGTCAGTTGGTTGTTGGTGTATGTCCTGATGAAACATGGATTGGGTTTAGTCCTGGCTGCGAAGGGGAAGTAGAAGAATGGCAAGGTCTTGCTTTTGATGGTCTCATGCATCACTAGATGGCTTTCAAGACACTCAGCTGGAAGGACACATTTAGATGTTATTTGCCTTCAAGAAATCAGGAGTCTTGTGCATAATTTTTCTTTTCTAGTATCAGAGTAGCTATCACTATTACAATTACTGTAAGGATACTGTAATGCCTGTATTGCTTTTCTTCCTGAGAATATCCTTTAAAGAAAACAAGAACTTTTCATTTTGCTACCTTTTCTCCTACCCTAGACTTCCTCTTTGGTAGGAAAGCCTTGCCTTGCCTCCACACATGATCTGTTACAGTGTCTGTATTATTGTTGCTAAGCTGGACATTTTGATGTCCTACAACCTTCATCTCTTGTCAACTTTCAAGGAGCGATGCATCAGAAAGTGGATTCTCTGTTAGCATTATGTGGTACAGAACTGCATCTTCCAGCCATAAGTGTTGATGTTTTTTTACACAAAATCCTTTCCTCTTTGGTGCTAGAATTTAGGGGTTTTTGGTGTTTTTTGGGGTTTTTTTGTTTGTTTGTTTGGTGGTTTTTTTGTTGTTTTTTTTTTTTTTCTGGCACTCCAAGTTGGATTTGGTGTAATGGAGCTCAGGACACTGACTCTAGTGCATGCTGTTCAGGTTATACAAAGAGAAAATGGTGAGTGTTGCACAGAAAATAACTCTGGTGAATGTTAAGTCAGGACCACTGACTAAGAACAGGATCTTCAAATCCAAGGAATCCAATATAGTGGTAATCTAAGCAGTTCATTTAGGAATGTATCTGTTTCTTTACCTGAGTCAATATCTATTAAAAAATACCACAGTATAAATCCCTGAATGTAGTTTCTCTGGTTTGCTTTACAGTGGCCAAAGGTGGTGCTAAAATCAAGAAGCCTTTACTGCATTTTCCCCTGCTGTGGCAGCCTAATGAGTCTCAAGGCCAGTCAGACTAGTCTGGCATGCCTTGCTCTTAGCAAATCCACATTTGCTGTTGTTTTCCTCTAGTTATCTTCTAGGGAATTGCAAAAGATGGATGGTGTTCACTGAGTATTGATGGTAAGCAGACTACTTCACAGACTGTTCCTCTTTTCCTGTATTTTTGAAGATGGGAATGCCATTTTTCCGTTTTTGGTTTTCTGATACTTTGCTGGGCTTCTGTGAACCTCAGTGATTCTGGCCAGTACTGTCGGTACTTTAAGAGGAGATCTTCAGATTGTTTGGGTCTGGTGAAATTTGATTTACTTTTTTTGAGGAAGTATTGTTCCTTCTGTATTCAGGCCACCTGATCACTATTTTTACTGTGCTAGTCATGTTAATGACTGGTCATGTTTCATATTTTTTAACAAAGATGGTTGTGAAAAAAAGGCATTTAGGTAAAAATTGAAGGGTTGTTTTGGAGAAGACCATTAAAATGCTTTTTACCAGATTGCAAATAAAATCTTCAAAATTTTTAGCTATGGTTACCATATGGGGCTGCAGAGAAAGGAAGTAACTGAAATTACCATACCCTAATCCTTAAGGATTTCAAAGATTGTAGTTAAAACTACAGTGGGAGAGAGAGCTTCATTTTCAGAATCATTCAGATGTGTTATGAATGAAATGCAAACAATTTAAATGCATCCATGTTCCCATCTTGAATTTGTTGCTGTCACATAGGGGTCACTTTGTTAACAATTAATGAAATGAGTCCCCAGGTGCATGTAACAAGCTGCACACATACACAGGTTACTGCAGCAGGTCAACTTCAGAATGCCTGTCCAGACACTTGTGGGCTGAAATTGATGGATGAGCAGGCAGATTTTTAAGTGCTTGCTCTGAATTTATGATTGTGACAGTCCCCTGTGTTG